GGCCGCTCGAGCCCTTGACCTTCCCCGCGCGCGGCGGGATCCGAGGCTTGTCAGCCGCCGCCGCCGCGGGCCCCGGTGGAGGGAAGGACGAGCCCTCCTGCAGCTGGGCTGAGCCCCGCGAGACATTTTCTCGTCCCCGGCCGGCGGGGAGGCGGCGGCGGCGTTGAGAACGCCGCCCGCGGTCGGCCTCGCACTGCCCCGACTGGCACATCTGGCAGAAGGGATGACCTCGCCGAAAAGACTCCCGGTCTCAGGATCCCGGTCTAGGTGGCGAGGAGATTTTTAACGCTCTGGGGGTAGAGACAGACCTAAGGCCATTGGTTGCAGCGAGTACGGCATATTTCCTCGGGGTACCATTTTAGTGTGGTTTCCATTAAAAAATGGTCGAATGTACAGATATCCAGTTACGTCTTTCCAAAACAGGGATAATTTTTAGCAATTTTTTTTAGGAAGACAGAACGCTAAAATGTTTTTTTTTGTTGTTTTTTTTTTACTCCCCTCTTGACACGTTGCCTGGCGAATTTCTCCGTTCTGCAGAGTTACCGGCTGAAGAAGGTAAGTAACCTTAAAATGTCCCCCCCCCCCTTCTCCTTGGTGCTGATGTTAAGATGACATTTACAGCAAATATGTTTGCTTTTAACAGGAAAAACCTTGCTGGAACTTGTGATTGAGCAGTTTGAAGACTTACTAGTTAGAATTTTATTGCTGGCCGCATGTATATCTTTTGTAAGTATAAAGCAATTTATTTTCTCTCCAAAGAGTTGAGAATGTTCCATAGATGAAAATCCAGGAAATAAATGATGTCTGTTGGGTGAGGACATTATATTTGGAGGTTTAAGCAGTATCTCTATGAGTGTGTTTTTTTTAACCTAGGTATTTTAAAATTACAAACAAAACACTGGAAGCCATTTGTGAACAAAATAAATGGATGCCTGACATTTGTAGTGCAGTTAGAAATTATTCTCAAGTGTGGCAGGGTCTTACAAGTTCTTGTGATTTATCAGTTTTTAATATTGAAAAGTTCTTTATTGGAAGGCCTTTTCTGTTTTGGGTTCATCTATTGTGTAAGGTCATATCGAGATGATGATGGGCTCTTTATAGTCTGTAAATAGAACTTACAAAAGGAATATTCCAGTTGCTCTCCTGTCCTGGTAATGGCAAGGTGACAGTTGTTTCTGACAGTGACAAGAATGATGACGGCAGTGATGGCACCGCTGTTGACCAAATTTGGTCACTGACCTTTAGGGTGGCATATTTATCTAAATTGGACCCTTGTCTTGAGTGACTCCTGGGTTAAGAGAACAAGGTTCAGTACAGTTGGTTCTAGATCTTAAAAGAAAAATAGAACCCTAGCGTTTTTTCTTGTTCTGTGCGTGCTCACCCGCTGGAGTCCTGTACGGTTGCTAAGAAACTGGTGAAATGCAGAAGACTTAGAGCAGAAGAAAGGATGGGGGCTGGCTAGGATATTTCTACATTATTAACATCTTTTTCTGTTGAGTATTAATTTTTTACTGTATTTTTTTCTTGAGCAGTAGACTTCTTGGTAGTTTTCCTAAAAATGGTCATGAATAGGACACAGATGTTCTTGATCCTAACAGCATGAGATGCCTTTTGTTCTTAACTTACGGTATTTTATTCTTATGAAAACTGTGATGGGAAATGAAATTCACCCAGCATAGCACTCTTTTCAGTCTTCGAAAAATTGACACAGCTTCAGGCTTTATTTTTGTATGTTTATATGTATGTGAACCCCAGGGATCTGCCTTAGTGCTTATGACAACCATACCATACCGGGCTGTTTTGAAAACTAAATTAAGGAAGTAGCGGATATTAATTTAGGTGAAGGGAAAAACTTGGAAAGAGGTGAACTTTGTTTTGGAGTAATTCTGTACACAAATTCTGCCATTGGGACTTTAATATATATTATGCCGCATTAGCTAAGTGATGTGTAGCCATTAATCAGCCCTCTTTTCAATGGTTTTCCCTGAGTAAAATTAAGAGTGATATGTCAAACCATTCAACATCCTGAGTTAATAATCCATATCTCTTACATATCCATTCTTAATTTAACCCTTCAACCTCCCCCCAATAGCTGCTGTTTTAACCAATTAAGAGATATTAATTAAGATCTGCTTAACTAGTTTCAGTATATTATCATGGAGCAAAAATTATAATTTGGGCGAGTGTAATATTTATATGTAAGCTGGCTACATAATTCTGAAATAGTCTTAGCTTTGTTAATTAAAATACTGGGTTTCAATAAGGTCATCAGGGACTTCTTAGAAGTTAATCAACTGATTTATACAAGCTAGAGCTAAAATGAACTTATATTAAGTATTCTGTGTATGTAACTTAAGGCGCTGTTGTAACATCAGTGGCATTATTTCCAATAAGCAAGCTAATTGACAATTTGGGTTATATGGGTATCTTGAGTGGCCAGTTTGTGTGACTGTATTAACATTTTTAATTAATGATGTGTGTGATATTTACTTTGAAGTAAGTAGTTTATAGTTTCTAGGCATTTTCAAGTGGGTTTTAAAATAAGTGCTTTAATTTTTGTAAGGCAGGATGTTGGGTTTTTGTAGCTTTATTTTGAAATTGAGATTTGAGTTACCTTTGGGTAACTACTTGGAGTTATTGCTCAGGAAATGAACTATGTTACATTTTTATTTTATTGGTTGCTATGTAGAAAAGTAATATGTGTCTAGGAAGTATTGTTACTTAATTTGCTTTGTTTGATTAAGAGATTGCAGATATAGCCCAGCTGGTTTGTCTCAGTGGTTAGAGCCTCAGCCCGAGGACTGAAGGGTCCTGGGCTCGATTCCGGCCAAGGGCACGTTCCCTGGTTGCAGGCTTGATCCCTGGTCCTGATCATAGGCATGCAGGAGGCAACCAATCGATCTCTCATAGATACATCTTTCCCCTCTTCCACTCTCTGAAACGCAATTGGAAAAAATACCCTCAGAGGAGGATTAAAGAAAGAAAGAAAGAAATTGCATGTTTGCTACCCTGGCTGGTTTGCCTCGGTGGTTAGAGCGTCAGTCCACACAGGGAAGGGTCTTGAGTTAGATTCCCAGTCAGGGGCCTGTACCTGGGTTGCAGATTCAGTCCCCACCAGGTCAGGGCGCTTTTGGGAGGTGACCAATTGATGTGTCTTTCTCACATTGGTCTTTCTCTTTCTCTCTCGTCTCTCTCTCTGACTCTCTCTCTCTCTCCCCCCTT